ACTTGCAATCCTCCTGAGTCACTGTGCTTATAGGCAAGTGCAACCATACCCAGCAATTTCTGCATCCTTAATAATAACTTTATACTATTTTGTAATCAGAAAAACAAGATTAAAAATATCAATTCTCACATTGTTGTTGCAATCCAAGAATGCCATCATCCTAAAGACCACATTGACTAACATCCGAGAGGAGATTGGAGTTGGGGGGAGGTTGAGTACTACAACCCAAGGCCCACAGCAGAATCCAGCCCCACCCCCAGGTTGGGTCCCAGCCCAGGTAGTTGGACCCTACCTCATCACCTCTACTCTCCCAATCACATCTGATATAGACCACTCCTGGTGAATAGTGCTGGCCAGCGCTGTAGCTCATGCTAGTTATACCTATAACCTTTCAGTAGTTCTACTATTAATACTTATACCTGCAGAAGATCTGCAGATGTCTCTAAATTATGTCTCTAAATCATAGTCATATGTCTCTCTAGAACTCACAGCAGACCCATGATCCCCAAAAAGAATGCTTTGCCAGCTACCAAAAGGTCTCTCTGGTAAGCTAGCTTTCCTAGTGGTAAGCTGCACTAGAAAACAGACACTATGGCTCTGGTTTGGGGAAGGGGCAAGATCCTGAGGGAATAAGCCCAACATGGCCCATCCTTCCTCCAGTTCTTGCCCTCTCCCCAAACTAAAAGCAAGCATAGACTCTCAATTCAAAAACTCTGTAGCCTGGCTTTGCAGCTCAGAACCAAGATTGACACAAATATTCCCAACCGACTCCTGGCTCAGAGGCTGCTCAGGGAGAGAACCCTGATTGAAAAGAGCTGCTTCTAGAGAGCTTGCCAAGTATTTCAAGAACAGTGAGGTATGTGAGCAGCTGGCACCTACGCTATATGCCTGGGAACTGGTAGGCCACACCTGGCCTGTTCAGAAACAGTCTTGCCTGAACAAATCCCACGGGCCCCAAGACATCAGGAAAGAGAAATACCCAATAATGTAGCTAGTGGGTGGGGCTCTGTACAGTCCTCGGACCTATGTCCCTCACACTATGGCAGAAATGCTGGGCACCAAGGGACAGAAGTACTCAGTACCTAAGCAAATGTCACAGCTCTCAAACGGGACTGCTATCTGCAGCAGAGCCAAGCAAATGATCAGGGCACTTATATCAGTCTCTGTCTCTGAGAAGCCAAAGCTGTTCTCTATATGTCCAAAGTGGCACAGGGTTTTGCAGCAGAGGCCATGGCACAAGGCGTGTGACAGGCAGTTGCCCCTAGACCCAGCTCACTCACCAATGACCAGCAGCACAAGGATGACAATGAGAACTACGAAGAAGGTGTTGCCATAGGTCACTACTAACTCCACCAAACGAGACTTGAAAATCTTCTGCCATCTGTAAAGGAAATAAAAAGCATAGGAACTAAAATCTCTCTCACACACACACACACACACACGAGATGTAGGCCCTAAACAGAACAGAAAACCAGCTGTTCTCCTGTGGCCAAACAGCCCATACGAAGTCAACCTCAGCTGCCTGTAATTCTCCAATTAATGATGTCCCTTCAAGAGTGTTTAATAAGCCAGGAGTGGTGCTGCATGCCTGTAATCCCAGGGGCTCGGGAGGCTCAGGCAGGAGAATCCCAAGTTCAAAGCCAGCCCCAGCAACTTAGTGAGACCCTGTCTCAAAATAAAACAGAAAAGTTCTGGGGATGTGGCTCAGTGGTTAAGTGCCCCTGTGTTCAATCCTTGGCACAAAAAAAAGGGGGGGGGAGGGTGTTAATAAAAAGATGTCTGCCCACATACAAAAAAAAAAAAATCTAAAAAAAAAGTCTTAAAACACAGGCCTTCTCTAGTGAGGAGAAACAATTTTCATCATATCCTGTTTCACAGTATTTAAGTGTTTGCCCTATACAACTGGTATTTCTTTTTTTTTTAATTTCAATATTTATTTTTCAGATTTCGGCGGACACAACATCTTTGTTTGTATGTGGTGCTGAGGATCGAACCTGGGCCGCACGCATGCCAGGCGAGCGCGCTACTGCTTGAGCCACATCCCCAGCCCCACAATTGGTATTTCTTTAAACTTTCTATGTGATAAATTTTGGTTTGTCTAGCTCTTCCCACTCGATTATAAAAACACTCCAGAGCTGCCACCATGTCCATCCCCAAATATTGTGGGATGTGGAGAATTATCTTCAGAAATGTTTACATATTGTTAAAATTAGCAAGGCACCCTCATTATCAGAGGCAGCGTTTAAAAGCCCAATTGTTTTAACAGTTGCTTTGTTACAATCAGGAGCCAACAAGGTTCTGACTTGGCATCTGGTAAGTCAGTCTGTCTTACTCTGCAAGTTCCACCCATCCACCCCCCTTTTGTTTCTGATATGTGATTAAAGTCAGGGCCTCCTCTATGCAAAGCAGAGCCCTACCTTTGAGCTATACCCCATCTCTTCTTATTTTGAAAAGAGGTCTTAAGTTGCCAGGCTAACCTGGAACTTGTAATCCTCCTGCCTCAGGCATTTGCCACCACCACTGTGTAGGAAGGAAGAAGTTTGCCCTAGGAAGCTTCCCAGATTACAGCTTCAAGGGGCTCTACCATTTCCTGCTAATCTGTGCACAGATTTGGTTTGTAGCAAACAAAAGCATTGCTTAGGTGATATTGCATTTTTCTTCAGGCCATTACATCAGGACTCTATTTTTCATTAAAAAAAATGATAAAAAAGATATCTGTGGCTACTTAGCCTTAGTTGTTAACATTCAAGTTTAGACAAGGATAATGTGTTTGTGTTCTGTGTGTAATTAAAAATTAACTTCAAATTAACTTTTAACAGTTCCTTTGCTCATTAAAAGGGAATATGGCTTCATCTTTCACAGGCTGAGTAATGCTCATGAGGCTACTATGCAATGCCAGTGAAGCTAGTTAGGACAAAAGTCAGCAAATCAGCAACAACGTGACCCAGTGGTGCAAGTGTTCTGGATCCCACACACAGCCAATCTCCTCCGCAACCTGGGGCCCAAGGGTAGGCAGTAGGAGTTTGTTTCTAAAACTTGAGATAAATCCTCCTTTTGGAGCATTGTGAACTCCAGAAGATAGGGTGCGTAAGAAAGGAATTCAACAAAATGTGACAAAGCACAATGGTGTGCAGAGTTGTCAGTAAAAAACATACCCATGCCACCTCCAACCCAGACAGGTTCTACCTGTTTTAATCTGGCCCCAATTCCAGGGTCCACCAATGCTGCACATGCACAAGCCACAGGGCTCAGTGGCAGGCACCCTCCAGCTTGCTCCACAGGCCATACCTTTTGGGAGAAATGAAGGGAATGCAGAGAAGCAACACAGCAAAGACCTCTGCATAGAGGAAGGTGGCAACTGCAGTCCACTGCAGACTCATCCTGTGGTTAGCAGGTTTCCAACAGAGATGTGAGCTTGTTTCCTAGCAGGGAACAGAAGGAACGGAAGCTATGAGAACTGGGCAACCACTGACCTCGAGTTTAGGTATTTGGAGAGGCTAGGGTTGCCACTCATCACCCTGGACCCCAGCACTCTGCTTCAGAGCCCTTAAATCACCGGCTAAATCGGGATTCAACGGACCGTAACTACTTGGCCAATGGCGTCCAACCGCCTGACAAACTTCCGCTTACAGGGACAGTTACTTGCCGCCCTCCAGCATGTGTGTTAACACGTCCAGAGCCACCTTTGTTGACGATTCCTTTCCCTGGGGAGTCCCAGAGACTCCTTGGGCCTGTTTAACTAAGAAAACGTATTCCATAAACAACAGTACATGAGCAGGAGGAAATCCTCAGCACCCACTGGGCTCCCTTCCCAGGCAAACTGCACCGTGCTGCAGAGGCTGGGCATTTTTCAAAACCCTGCTACAGCCAGCCCCGGGACCACAGTATTTTAATAACTGCACCTTGCGGCCACCACCCACTCCCCCACAGAAACAGGGAGTCCCTTCGGTCCCCAACCCTTCCGACCCATAGATAAAAACACAGCGCCTCCTTCTGGAACCATTTTCAGGAGCTAAAAAAGCCTTTCGACTATTCCTGCCTTCCATGGGGCGGGAGGCCTCGAGGTGCCTTGAAAAGGCCCAAGAGAGCGACTCCTAGAGGGCAGGAGTCAGGGCCAAGAGCAAACTCAGGTCTCGATTGAGCATCCCAAGCCCTCATCCAAAGAAAGTTCCAGGAGAAGCGAGTCTCCTCGAAGCCCTAGTGGGTCACAACGCCACCCAGCTCACGAGCCGCCCACGCAGCATCAGGCGGCCTGGGAGTAGCCCTGGCCCGGCACTCTCCCAAAGGCTCTCCCAGAGCTCCTACGGGTGGGGTTCGCCACCGTCCCCTGGCCCTCAACCCCCGAAAGCCCCGCTCCAACCGTCGCCGCGGGCCCATTTCCCTCAGCCCAGCCCTCTCCCACACTCCCTTGTCGGCCCCAGATCCCTAGAATCCGCAGACCCCTCGGTGTCTCCACGCTGCTGGTCCCTCTCCCTCGCTGAAGGGATGGGGTAGCCTTCGCAACCCCGGAGCCCAGCCAGACGCATGGACCCCACTCACCGAGTTCCTCACAATCCACGCACACCCTGCCGCAACCACCAAAATCTCTCACCACAGTCCCAGCCCCGCCCCTTTCCCGCGGCCGGAAACCGGAAGTTCCTACAGGGCCACGCCCACCAGCCCTCGCGAGGCCCCGGCGGCTCCTCCCACGGCTTCTTCCCGCCTCGCTCGCCAGATTAGGGCCTGTCTCCAAGGGCTTGAGAGGAAGCGGCGCCTCGCAGCGGGCAGCTGTCCGCGGTGCCTTGGGCACTCCGGATGCACAGGGGGCGGGGTGGGGCGGAGCCTTGGCGGGAAAACAAGGGCAACTGCTCTAGCCAGCCGGGTCGTCCCTCGTCTCTGTGGTGGGGGGCGGGACCGGCGTGCAGCGAGAACGGGGTGGGGCGCCCCGCGCCTGGACTCCGCCTCTCGCCCCTCCTCCGCCTCCTCTCCTTCCCCTGGCTCGCCCCTGGGGAGGGCTGGATGGGTGGGGATTCTGGGCCGGTGGCGGAGTCACTGTCGCTTCAGCCAGGCTGCGAAGCGGACGGACGCACCCCGTGCCCCGGGAAGGGGCGCCACCAGGGGAGGAGGAGGAGGGGAAGAGATACCCTCTGCCCGAGATCTCTCGAGGCTCTCATCTCAGGGGCTAGGGGATTGACAGGAGAGGGAAGCCAAGTTCCTCTATCTGATCTGCGTGAAGAGGCCGCGACCCTGGAGGGCCCTGAGCCCACCCACATCAGGGGCCCTAGGACCACCCCGAGGGCCTAAAGCGACAGTCTTAGGGACCACTGCAAGGTTACCAGTTGCCTAGACAACGAGCCTAGGGGTCAGCAACAGCCCTTTCCAGCACCTGCCTCAGGCATCACTCCTAGCCCCAAGCGTGCCTGCCAGTCCAGGTGACATGCCGGTGCTCTCCACCCCACGGCCCTCGCGGGTGACCATGCTGAGGCGCACAGCTGTGGTCCTGGCCCTCACAGCCTACGGAGTCCACAAAATCTACCCTCTGGTGCGCCAGTGCCTGGCTTCGTCCAGGGGCCCTCAGGTGCCGGCTGGAGACCCCACGCAAGAGGCCCTGGGGGCCACAGCGGCCAAGGCTGGCATGAACAGAGTATTTCTGCAGCGGCTCCTGGTGCTTCTGCGGCTGCTGTTCCCTCGAGTCCTGTGCCGGGAGACTGCGCTGCTGGCACTGCACTCTGCTGCCCTGGTGAGCCGGACTTTCCTGTCGGTATATGTGGCCCGCCTGGACGGTCGGCTGGCCCGCTGCATCGTGCGCAAGGACCCACGGGCCTTCAGCTGGCAGCTGCTACAGTGGCTCCTCATCGCTCTCCCTGCCACCTTCATCAACAGCGCCATTCGCTACCTGGAGGGTCAGCTGGCCCTGTCTTTCCGAAGCCGTCTGGTGGCCCACGCCTACAGCCTCTACTTCTCCCAGCAGACCTACTATAGAGTGAGCAACATGGACGGGCGCCTGCGCAATCCTGACCAGTCTCTGACAGAGGATGTGGTGGCCTTCGCTGCCTCTGTGGCCCACCTCTATTCTAACCTGACCAAGCCACTCCTGGATGTGGCTGTGACCTCCTACACGCTGCTTCGTGCCGCCCGCTCGCGTGGAGCTGGTACTGCTTGGCCCTCGGCCATTGCTGGCCTCGTGGTGTTCCTCACGGCCAACGTGCTAAGGGCCTTCTCACCCAAGTTTGGAGAGTTGGTGGCAGAGGAGGCACGTCGGAAGGGGGAGCTGCGCTACATGCACTCTCGTGTAGTGGCCAACTCGGAAGAAATCGCCTTCTATGGGGGCCATGAGGTGGGGCAGTTTGGGGCACTGGGCATGTAATAGAGCATGTAGCTGGGAGGCCCAGGGCAGCCAGCTGCGCAGGGTGGGGAAAGCCCAGGGCTGATTGGGGCTGATGCTAAAGGTGCAGTGGGCCATGGAAAGGGGCCTGGGGATGGGTGAGGCCTTGGATGGCTGTGGTCTTAGGTGCAGAAAAGGAAAAGCAGGACAGCCGGGTAGGAGCAGGCCTGTGCTGGCTGCCTGTGCAACTCTGATCCACTTCTGCTTCTTTGCTTTGCTACCTTGGTGAGCTTGCCCTGGACTTGGAGCTGCAGATCCTAGCGGTTTGAGACGCTAGCATTCTGGCTCACCCCAGTGCTGCGGCCAGCCAGGAGGAGACTCCTGCCATCTGGGAGCAGAGACAGTAGGACGCAGCCTGCTGCCCAGCCTCTCCCAGGGCCCTTTGAAGGCTGGCGTCCACCAGAGCTGGCCGGCATTATGGGCATGACTCAGCCCAAGCCGAGGTTAACGAGCATCGCCCAGCTCAGCAGCCACTCGGTGGAGGCCGTGGCAGCACTCAGGGTCAAGGCCCAAGGCCGTGGGTCTGCCGAGTTACAGACCAACTTAGCCTCCTACCCGCAGCCCTGGGCTGTGTATGCCTAGCCCCAGCCGCCACCGCGGCAGGACACACTTCCTGCCCACCCGGCAGCAGCCCTGCCCCCAGCGTGGCCGCCCTTCCGCCTAGGTCCCAGGCTCAAGGCTCCCTGGTGGGCCTACGCCGATGGGCAGGCACTGGGAAAGGTTACTCCAGGCCAATGCTCCCTTTATCATTGCAGCCCCTCCCCTTCCTCGTGCCTGGGGTTGCAGCTGCCTCAGGTCTTATTCTCTGCAACTCCATTTTCGGTTCCTGAATGCCTTGGGGGGAGGGGCGCGGTGACATCCAACTCCTAAAGGCCAGTGTGTATTCCCTAGGTCAGGTGGCCTCTTGCCCCAGGACCCTGTCTCATTGGTTGCACATCAAGTAGAGAATCAGGGTTGCATCTGTTTTTTTTTTTTTTTTTTAAAGGGCTTGTCCCTAAACTCTGAACTTCAGAGACATTCCAGGTGGGATCAGGTTTCAGATTAGGAGAAAAGTGCCTGGCCTTCTTCGGTATCCCCTCTCCTGCTTCCCTCTTCTCCTGCATGCCAGGCTGCAGGGCCTTGGCAGGCAGCCGTGGCCTTGGGTGAGGTGCTTGGCACATCACCTGCAGCTACATCGTCAGCCTTGGCTGGCACTCCTGCCAACTCCCAGCACGAGCCTGGATCATCAGGGTGCTCAGAGGAGACGCAATCACTTCAGGAACAGGAAATTGGGCCTGAGAAAAGCTTAGCTATGGGAGCAGCACCAGGTGCTAGGGGCAGGTTCTTTGAAGGACTTCCTCTGGCCCTGGCTTCAGGAAGTCATTCATTTGTCAGGGTGGAGGGCCCTGTGTGCATTCTTGGCCAGTCTGGATAGGCCTCAGCTGGAAAGCTGTGTGGGGTGACAGGCCCCCAGAGGTGGGTTGATTGCCCTTGCTGTGCAGGCATGTAGCTCACTCAAGTCCCACTGGCTGATGTCCCATGGACAAGGGCCTGGGTTCAGATCAACAGGTTAGGACAGAAGTGACGGACTGGGAAAGGTTACTCCAATGGCCGAACAGCAGAGTATTCTCCTTTTACTAGGGTTTCAATGAGGCCGCTCATTTAAATACACACACATGCACACAACCTCTTGCTTGAGAACAAAGTAAACCTTTCTTAACAAGTCAAAGCATCATTTATAAGAATCTGGTTCTCCTAACAGCTCTGCCGGTGTGTTCCACATTCCTGTACTGCCTGCTTCCTTCAGGCAATGTGAGCTTGGGCAGAGCACTTTGTCTCTCTGGGCCTCAGTGTCCTACAGTGGACATGAGAATACATGTGCTGTGATATGGGTGTAAATCAAATAGATGTGAAAGCACTTGGCAAATGATGCCAAGCTGGGCATCCCTCATCAGTTAAGCATGGGAGTCAGGGCCAAGGCATGTGTACCTGTACTGAACCAGAAAATATAGGACCCGGTAGCCACCTTGCCAGAAGCACTTTCCAACACCTCTGTCCTCCCCTACCTATCTGACTGCTGCTACCACTCAGTTCCCTACAGAGGCACCTACCCAATCCTGACCTAGCAGGAAGTAGTAGCCAATGCACAAGGGCCTACCCATTGCTGAGGGAGGGAGAACCAGGCTGGGATGCAGACCGCTGGGGAACATACCCTCCTGGTTTGGGTGGGAAAAAGCAGTGCAAGTTTCTCATGGAGAGGAACCCTGGAAAGTAGCCGGAGGTTGTCAAAGCCAAGAACACTACCTTTTGCTCTCCTGTACTGCTCTTTGCTTAGTTTAGGGTAGAAAAGTTAGAGCTAGCCTGTGTGGTGTCACATACCTGTAATCCCAGTGGCTCAGGAGGCTGAGGCAGGAACATTTCAAGTTCAAAGCCAGCCTCAGCAACTTAAGTAGGCCGTAAGCAACTCAGTGAGACCCTGTCTCTAAATAATGTATCAAAAAGGGCTGGGGATGTGGCTCAGTGGTTAAGTGCTCCTGAGTTTAATCCCCAGTACCAAAAAAAGAAAGAAAAATTAGAGCTGATGGGGGTGGTGCTGAGGGAGTCCAGAGCCCCTCATGCAGAGGCCACCCAGGGTACAGAGAGGGGAGTGGTGAGTATACTAGCTACAGAGATAGTGGGAAGAGGGGACAGGTACTACACTATGACTTCAGGCAGTCCCTTCTCATCACCACTACCCACATTGGGACATGGCCTCACCCCAATTGTAACCCCCACCTCTTAGCCTGGTCATGGCCATTAAACGGTGAAGTATGTGTGAGCAGTACTTGGAGATTCTCACCATCACCCCCACAGGAGTTGCCACAGGGCCTCTTGGTATGTGTCATCCTGGCAGGTGGAGCTGGCACAGCTGCAGCACTCCTACCAGAACCTGGCTTCGCAGATCAACCTCATCCTTTTGGAACGTCTGTGGTACGTCATGCTGGAGCAATTCCTCATGAAGTATGTGTGGAGTGCCTCGGGCCTGCTCATGGTGGCCGTCCCCATTATCACTGCGACTGGCTACTCAGAGTCAGGTGAGAGCCGGGGCTCTGGGAAAATGAGACAGGGTCCGTTTTTTCCTGTAGTACTGGGTGCTAGGTTTGCAAGGACCCAGTGCTCAGCTGGCCGCCTCCCCATTTGACTGGGGATGTTGAGCCCCTGATGGCATCATAAGATTTACCAGAAGTCAAACTCTTTTCATAGCTCCTTGTTGCCATTCACCCAGCACATTCCTTGTACTGCCCAACCGAGCCTGGGACCACAACCCAGGAACACTGCATGCCACTCCACCATGTACGTGCACCCTTGCCCACCTGTCCTCAGCCCAACTGTAACTTGGAGGTGGGAGGATTTGGAGAGTACCTTGGGTGAGCCCCTTCATGGGCCCAGCCTTGGTTTTCCCACCTCTAAAGTAGTTCTTGCAGGTTTCAGAGGATAGAGATCTATCTCTCTTCCCTGAAGCCTTTTGGGGGAGCAGTAAGCCCATCCTGTTATTGGTCAGGTTGTCTTTGTTCCCATTTTGTTCCTTTACTGGTTTGCAGCTCATTCATTTTGATTTCAGACTTTCAGTAGTTACTCTTGAGAAGTTTCTAAGTCTCAGGTTAATCAATATCTCCCTTCTTCCTAGACTTTAGAACATAGGACCTTAGAGAACCAATCCCCATTGCACAGCTCAGCATGAAGTTTGGTTTCACATGGTTTTTGTTCTTAGCTATGCTTTAGCTGCCACCAGCTAAATGGAAAATGAAGCAAAGTCCCTTGGGTGTGTAGACTTACCTGCTTGGCATTCAGTCATTATACCTCAGTCTGCCTCTCCATGTTCCATTTCCTTCTTCCAGGTAGACATTTTTAAAAAGTTCTTTCAGGATGCATTTCAACCTGGGACATTCTCAATTATTTTGTTGTCTGCAGTTGTCTTTATTCCTGAGCTAAGTTTAGGTTGGGTACAGAAATATAGGTGGAAAGTTAATTTCTCTCAGCCCTCTGTCGGTATTCCATTGTCGACTCACTTCCATTACTGTTGGAAAAAAAAAAAAATCTGTGATTGGTTTAATTGTTAGTAACCTCCATTTTCTCTCTGGGTGCCTTTATAATTTTCTCTTTCCCTGTAGCATTCTGCGTTTAGGTGTAGGTTTCTGTTTCTCCTGCTGGAGACTTCTGTATCCTTCGAAAATTCAGGGTTTTCAGTGTTCTTTCTGCTCACTAATTCTCCAGCTCACCAGTTTTTAATCACATCTAAGTTGAATTTTTTTTTTTTTACTTCTCATTGACTATTTTCTATAAGTTCTATTTGATTCTACTTCAGATAGAAATTTGAAACTAGAACTTTTCAGATTGAAATTTTAAACTGTTTTTGTATCTTATTTGCTCCTCTTTTGTCTGCTCCTTTTATGCTGCATATCATATTAGTCATGCTTATTTCACAGTATCTATCCAAAGACTTGATGATCTGAAGTTCTTGGGGGTCTAATCCACCATCATCTTCCCTGCTGGTCCTCACTCATGGTGGATCATTCCCTTGTGAGAATAGCTGTGGCGTCCATGGAGGGTGTAATTCCTGTGTGCCTCTCTTCTTTTCTTTTGGGCACGCGCACCAGGGGTAATTAACTAGTTGTAGGTCATGTTCATGTTAAGCTCTCAGCTTGGGCAGGAAGAGGGTGGTTCCAGGGCTTGGAGGCAATGTTCATTTGAAGCCCAGACATATAATTACCAATTCTTAGAGAAGACCTTTTGCTCAGGGCACCTAGAACCCAGGCAAGGTTGGTGAGACTCCCTGTCTTCTTCCCATCTGCTTTCTTTCAAGCACAGTTCTGCTTTAAAAGGTGTTCTAGTTTAGCTAGTTTGATAAGAGGGTTTTCAGTTATACATATATGTATCTAAGCCTGACTTGTTTTAGAAACCGAAGTCTCTCCTATTTTTGTTCCCTCTTTTTTTTTCACTTTGGGGCTTGCATACCTTCAGCTCCGTGTCCCTCTCTGGGTGACACCACCCCCAACCCTCCCTTCCAGAAAAGAAATCTGACTCGGGGGTTCTACATGCAAAGGGACGCTTTGATTCAGTCATGGGTGCCTGGCACAGCCAGCATACCTGGCCCATGGCACATGGAGCCAGCCATGAGGAAACCAACTAGGCTTGTAGGAGATTCAAAGACGGGCAAGTTACTGCCAGGCGTGGTGGCACACATCTATAATTATAGCAACTCAGGAGTTGGAGGCAGGAGGATGGAAAGTTTAAGGACAGCCTCAGTAGTTTAGCAAGACCCTGTCTTCAAATAAAAATAAAAGGGGCCGGGTGCAGTAGCACACACCTGTAATCCCAGCGGCTCAGGAGGCTGAGGTAGGAGAACCGCAAGTTCAAAGCCAGCCTCAGTAATGGTGAGGTGATAAGCAACTCAGTGAGACTTTGTCTCTAAATAAAATACAAATTAGGGGGCTGGGGTTGTGGCTCAGCAGTAGAGTGCTCGCCTTGCACATGCGAGATCCTGAGTTTGATCCTCAGCACCACATAAAAATAAATAAGTGAAATAAAGGTATTGTGTTCAAGTACAACTAAAAAATAAATATTTAAAAAAAAATAAATATTTAAAAAAAATAAATAAAAATAGGGCTAGGGATGTAGCTCGGTGGCCAAGTGATCCTGAGTTCAATCCCTGGCACCAAAGTAAGTAAGTAAGTAAATAAATAAATAAAGTGGTAAATCACCCCTGGGATCAAGCCTCAGTATAAAAAAAAAAAAAAAAGAGTGAACTCCTGCCCCTGCCACCTGGCCCTCATAGCTAGTAACCTTTAGAAAATATACAAAGAATGTTCCCATCCTCCTTGCTGGCCCCACTTATGTCTTAGGGGCCTCCTTGTTATTTTCCTAAATACCACACATTCATGGACTCAGGGTCCTTGTGCCTGCTGTGTGCCCTGCTAGGAATGTTCTTTCCTCTGCTGCCCCTGAGGCTCTGTCCCTTTCTCTGCCAGAGCTTTGCTCCCAGGTATCAGGTAAGCAAGGCCTGCCTTGACCACCATCCCTCTCTCCTTCCTTTCCCCTCTCCCAAACAGCATGTGTCACTTCTTTGTGGAATTCCTCCCTTTCTCCCCGCCTTCCACTGAGAGCTGTATAAGGGTAGAGATGTTTGTCTGTTTTATCCCTGCAGTACCCCTAGTACCTGGAGGCAAGTGAGGGCTCCAGGTGCTTCAAAGAGAGCCAGTGGGAGAAGACAGGCACTTAACTACTAGGGAAGATTTAGATAAGCCTATGTGACAGGCCTGGAGGGCCCAGGAAAGGAACACAACCTATCACCCACTCCAGCCCAGAGGTCTGGCCTGCTCTGCTGCAGCCAGGCCTTCAGCTTCCTAAGGTACTAAAAGGGACCTGCAGGGGGCAGTTAGCTGTGTGAGTTCTGTCTCCAGGAAGGTGCCAGACTTGTGGACCCCTTCCCTTTGTCCACTCTATCAGGACATTGAGGAAGAGGACTTGTATTCCTACCCTTCCTAGAGGGCACTGTGGGAAGAAAGGCTCAGGACCTTAGATTTGGAGGATTAATATTTACCCCACACCCAGTTTATATACCTGGTTTCCTGGGCCAGGCCCCAGTAGGCAATGTGAGGTGCTCTGTCCATCTATTTTTTCCCCTTGCACTATCCCTTTTCCTCCCCTCCCTGTCATTGATCTCTGAGGCTCTCACTTCAGGATCACATATGTCCTTGGATAGTCTTCCTTCCCAGTTCAGTCCCAGGGGCCCTGGGCTCTGGAGCTTCTCTGGTAGTTGCTCACTACTCACCCACCCACACTCCTCATTGCCAGATTTCCAGATTACTTGTATAAAAACCCTGCCCCTCTGGAGACTCCCAAGGTCAAGCATGGTTGAAGGGCATACAGTGGGATCTAGACTGACAGAAAAGCAGGTTCAGACTGGAGCAGTTCTTAGGAGCAAACAAGATAGCCATTGCCACAGAGGTCAGAGATCATAGCTCAAAGGGCCATGAGGGAGAATGGGCCCCAGGGAGGTCAGGAAGTGAGATATTCATGTTTCAAAGACAGCTCTGGGCATTAGATGAGGAAATCCAGAGGCTGATATGGTACAGTACAGAGGGGCTGGGACAGTCCAGGTGAGAGGAGCTGGTTGTGTCAAGAAACAAAGTCATGTTCCTGTAACTTATTTTCTTAAAGTTATTGAGATGTGATTAACAGACCATGTAATTTAGCCTTTTTTTTTTTTTGTGGTACTGGAGAAATGAACCCTGGGGTGCTCTACCACTGACCTAATCCACAGCCATTTCTATTTGTTGTTTTGAGACAGGGTCTCGCTAAGTTGCCCAGGTGGCCTCCAACTTGTAATCCTTTTGCCTTGCTCTCCTGTATATCTGGGATTACAGGCATGCACCACTGCACTGGGATCAATCAGCCTTTAAAAATGGACAATTAAGTGGGTTTTTTAATATATCCACAGAGTTGTGCAACCATCACCACTATCTACATACAGAACATTTTTACACCCTAAAAAGAAACTGCAGACCCATTATCATTCATTCCTTAATCCTTCCCTGCCCAGCCCCTGACACCCACTAATTTACATTCAATCTATGGATTTGCTCATTCTGGACATTTCATAGAAATAGAATCATATGATATGTGACCTTTTGTGACTGGCTTCTTTCACTGAGCATAATTATTTCAAGGTTCATCTATGTGATGAGATGAATCAGTACATCATTCCTTTTTATAGCCAAATAATATTCCATTGTGTGTGTATATGTTTTTCTTTGCAGTACTGGGGATTGAACCCAGGAGCATTCTACTGCTAAGCTACATCCCCAGCCCTTTTTAAATTTTATTTTATTATGAAACAGTGTCTCACTAAGTTGTTGAGGCTGGACTCAAACTTGGAGTCCTCCTGCTTTAGCCTCCTGAGTTGCTGGGATTGCTGACATGTGACACCATTGCCAGCTTGTACCACAATTTCTTTATCCATTCATCCACCAATGGACATCTGGATTGTTTGCACCTTTTGGCTATACTGGATAGTTCTGCTGTGAGCATTTTTATGTGGACATACAGTTTTGTTTCTCGTAGATATATAGCTAGGAATGAAATTCCTGGGTGGGTCCTCTGGTAATTCTAGTTTTAACTTTGTGAGGAAGTGCCATACTGTTTTCTAGAGCAGCTGCACCATTTTATCTCCCATGTGCAGTGGATAAGGGTCCAACCTCTCATCCTGGCAAGTGCTTATTATTTCCCTATTTTATAGCCACACTTGTGGGGATGAGGTGCTATCTCTGGGTAGTATTCGTTTGTATCTCCCTAATGACTAATGATGTTGAACATTTTTTTCATGAGCTTAATGGCCATTGGCATACGTTCTCTGGACAAATATCTATTCAGATCTTTTGCTGGTTGTTTGATTGGGTTGTCTGTCTTTGGTTGAGTTGTAGAAGTTCTTTATGTATTCTGCATACTACACCTTTACCAGATATGTGGCTTACAAATGTTTTCTCCCAGTGCGTATGTTATGTTCTTTCTTTCTTTCTTTTTTTTTCCTGGCAGTACTGAGAATTGAACCCAGAGTGCTCTACCACCAAGCTGCATCCCCAGTCCTTTTTGGGGGAAGGGGGTTGGGGACCAGGGATTGAACTCAGGGGCACTTAACCACTGAGCCACAACCCCAGCCCTTTTAAAACTTTTTTTGTTTTGTTTTGAGTCAGGGTCTCACTAAGTCTTTGGGGTGTCACTAAGTTGTTGAGGTTGCTCTCAAACTTACGATCCTCTTGCCTCAGCCTCTTGAGTCACTGGGATTACAGGAATTCACCACCATACTGGCCCTGTTCACTTTCTTGATGATGTTCTTTGGTGTCCAGAAGTGTTGGATTTTGGTGCTGTTCAATTAATCTATTTTTCTTTAGTTACTTGTGCTTTTGATGTCATAGTTAAGGAACTGTTGCCATATCCAAAGACATGAAGTTTTATCTTTGTTTTCTTCTGATTTTATAGACTTAGCTCTTATACACATCAACCTCTGATCCCCTTGGAGTTAGTTTTGGTATTTGGTGTGAGGTAGGGATCACTCTTATGTGCATGTATGTATCCAGCTTTCTTTCCCCTGGTGGCTCATTTTGACTTTCCACTGTCTCTCCTCCTCCACCCCTTCCACTGGTGGGCAGACTCGGAAGACATGAAGAAGGCAGCCTTGGAGAAGGAAGAGCTTGTGAGTGAGCGCACAGAAGCCTTCACTATTGCCCGCAACCTCCTCACAGCTGCTGCAGATGCCACTGAGCGGATCATGTCATCCTACAAGGAGGTAACCACAGCACAGCCCCCACCCCTGCCAATAGCTGGCCAGAGCTAAGTCCATGCTGCTCTTCTTACAGGTGACAGAGCTAGCTGGCTACACAGCACGGGTTCATGAGATGTTCCAGGTATTTGAAGATGTCCAGCACTGTCGTTTCAAGAGACCAGGCGACACAGAGGACAGTCAGGCATGGTGTGGGACCATGGTACGATCTGGTGTTCGTGTGGAAGGGCCCTTGAAGATCCAAGGTATGGTGGTCTCCCCCACGCAGAGCACCCCCTCTCATCCCTGCCTCACTACTTGCTGCCTGGGCTTTGTTCCCATCCTGACACTCAGGGATTATCCAGTCTATCCAGGAGAGAGGGCTTCCCAGCAGGGTCATTGAAAACTTTCACCAGGTTTAGTGGGGTCCCTAGGGAGGGTTTCTCCAGGAGAGATGCTGGTTCAGCAACGTGCCTTCTTAGAGTCGTTGCTGCCAGCCAGACTGCTAATGCAGCCTCCTGAGTGCCCTGGATGAATTATTGGTTAAGAAAGTGGGGACAAGGGTGTGTAGCCAGGCATGGTGGCATATGCCCATAATTCAGGTACTCAGAAGGCTGAGTCAGGGGAGGATTGCAAGTTCCAGGACAGTCTTAGCAACTCAGAGAGATTCTATCTCGAAATTAAAAATTTAAATGGCTAGGGATATGACTAGTGGTAGAGCACCCGTGGATTCAATCTCCAATATCAAAGAAAGGAAGGAAGTGAGGAGGGAAAGAAGAAGGGGAGGAGGAGGAAGAAGAAGAGAAGAGAGGAGAGAAAGGCAGGTAGTCCTTGAGTGTAGGGGATCATGCATCCATGAAGGGCAGCCAGAGAAAATTCAAGGCAGTGTGCAAGCATGGAGCGAGAGTTTAGCCAGCTGTCAGATTACAATAATGCAATAGGAAGAGGGACCTGGACATTGGAGTTGGCTTTGACATGGTGCCAGGAGGGTAGAGCCACAGAGCAGGAGTAGACACTCGATGCCACTGGTTCCAAGAAGACCACAGGGTGGCAGCCCACACACAGTACTAGACACTAGGAAAGGGGAGATCTGCCTGTCAGAAAGCCTGGCTGTTTTACCCAAGGACCTAGTACTGCACCATGCCAATTGAATATACACTGGTTTGCTACTGGGGAAGCAAGGGAGGGCAGCCAGGGGCACACAGAACCCACCAAAACACTGCTGCCTATCCTCTCTCCTTGCACTCTTTCTGCAGGCAAAGTAGTAGACGTGGAGCAGGGGATTATCTGCGAGAACATCCCCATCATCACGCCCACAGGAGAGGTCGTAGTGGCCAGCCTCAACATCAGGGTAGGTCAGTGGGCTGGGAATGTGATAGAGTACTTGCCTGGCTTATGTGAGGCCCTAGGTTCCATCTCCAGCACAAATAAATAAGTAAATAAATAAATAAAAATCACAGGTTGAGCAGGGAAAGCGTGCCTGATGAGGAAGTGCTTATCACGTAGACTTAGTTGACAGGTCCAGGATACATGGCTTTGGGTCCTGGCCATCTGCCATCTGCAAGCCCAAGCCTTTGGCTTCCCATCTGACTGTGCTGGCAGTAGCCATTGTCCCCAGATGTACATGGCAGATGGGTCAAGGTCAAGATGAGAGACCAATGTGCCTCTGTGTTCTGAGGCAATAGAGTCAGAGCTGATAAAAGAGACTAACTATCACCAAGATTGGCCAAGTGTTTCTAGTCTGATTGTTGCCAGCTTCCAAACATCCTGAAAGAGCCAAGACTTGGGGGCTCTCATTCCACTCCAGCTGCAGGGGAGGAGATTGCTGCTCTCTCTATCTGGGGCCCTCTGCTCTCCAGGCTAGGTACCTGTCCCATCTGCTTTGAGAAGCTCCCTGTACAGGGTCTATGTGGTGGGCACAGAGCTATTCACTGAGGAGTGCTCTCAGGCCCTGGAGAGGTTGTGGAATGGAGTTTCTGGGAGCTAAACCATCTACTGATCACCTTTGTGCCCAATCAGGGCTTTGGGTAAGGGCAAGGAGCAATGGAGTAAGAGGAAGAATGAGCAGGGGAATGGGGAGGAAGTAAGAGGGATTCATTCCTTTCTTCATTCATTTGACCAATGTTCCCTGAACTCTGGGCTGAGTACTGGAAACCAGAGATAAATTAGGAGGCCCATGCCCTCAAGGTGTCCTCACTCTGGGGGGCACTACAGTGTTACAAAGGACCCCAATTAGACAGCTGTCCAGAGTATAGCAGGGGCTGAAAAAATAATGGTCACCATCCTAGGGGTGAGTGGAGGTCCAGTGAAGCTTCACTTAGGAGTCACAGACAGGAGGATGGGTAGACATGACTGGAACAAAGGACTGAGGGAGGAAGCACCAGGGCCTGCCATGTTCCTGCAGGGAAGGGCAAGAGGAGGGGGGAGTGCCTAGGCCTGGAGGGGACGAAGATGGGAGAAGGCCCCTGAGAGCCAGATGGAGGCAGGGCATGTGTCACTATCCAACGTAGCACAACACAGTGATGTGATCCACATCACCCCTAGTATTGGTCACTCTAGGGGCTGGGGAGCAGCCAGTTGCTAGTGGATCCAAGATGAGTGGTTTCCAGGCTAACCTGGAAGAAGCCCAAGGAGGCAAAGATCCTGAGGTGAAAAGGGACACAGCTGGTTAGAAAACAAGGCCAGGGGAGAAGGGGCAGTGGCGGGTGGAAGAGCAGGGGCAGAGTCCTGAGTGATCCTGTAGCCCTCTTGTCTCCTCTTGCCCTCTGGAGTTAAGAGTCACATGATGGTGTGAATGTTCTGGGGCTGGCCTACAAAGTTACCACAGACTGGGTGGTTTTAGCACCAGAAATGGACTCTTCCCAGTTCTGGAGGCCAGATGTGTACATCAAGGTGCTGAGGTGCTGGCAGGATGGATTCCCTCTGGGGGCTGTGTGGGAGAATCTGGCATGGGCCCCTCCCAGCTTCTGGTTTGCAGCAAATCCTAGGCGTTCCTTTGCTTCTGCTGCACCACCCCGACCTGTCTTCACATGACGTCCTCCCTCTGCATGTGTCTGTGTGCAAATCTCCCCTTCTGGTAAGGACACCAGCCTTGTTGGGTGAGAGACAACTCCAGTAGGACTGCCTGTTAATTTAACCAGTTGTATCTGCAACAACCCAGTCTCCAAATAAGGTCACACTCGGAGGGAGTGGGGGTGAGGATTCCAACACATGAATTTGGGGGACAAAATTTGACTCATTACACTGCCCAAAGTAAACCAAATGCTAGAACCTTAAATCTTCCCAGGAGCCCTGTGCATGGTGTTGTTATCTGTGGCTTTCACGGATAAGGAAACACACACTGAGAGAGGGAAGACACAATGTGTGACCATGCTGGTGGTGGCCAGGGAATCTCTGCTCCAGGGTGCCTAACTCCATGCCCTGGGCTGTCCCTAACACCTGCCAGCTCCGGTGCTCACTGTGAATCTGGCAGGCTGGGACAGAGCCTCGCTGCACTCTGACCCCTCCTTCCTATGCACCACATTTCCCTAAGTCCAGCACAGATAACGCAGCAGGCTAACCAGGAACCTGGAGGACTCTGACGTGCTTGATGCTAAGCCCACGGGCCACAGAGGCATTTTGTGTCCCCCTGGCACCTGTGGACGTGAAGAGGACTATGGGGGCAGGGAGATGGGCAGTGGAGATTTGGATTGTAAGTGAGAACTGTAAGGAAAGTGTCTCACCCTGGGCAGCTCCTAAAAGGGATTGGGGCTCTTGATCCTGTGCTTGGACTCCCAGTGAAGTGGAATTTAGGGTAACATTGACTGTCTTGGAACACACCCTTCCTCTTGTGCTGGCCTGTGCTTTCTGGGCATACTGGGACCTTAGGGAACAGGACCAGGTCTTGTCTATTTCCTTGCATGTTGGGCCAGGTGTTCGTTTAGGGCTCTGGATGCTGGACCCCATCCCTCTGATCCTAAAATCCCTTACCAAAAGATTGAGAATGGCCTGTCTGCCAGCCTAGGACAGAGGGAGCCTTCTGAGGCTAGGAAGGAAGCCACAGGGTGTGACAAAGGAGGCCCATGCCTAGGTGTCACAGTCTGCTGCCTCGCTGCCTCTGCAGGTAGAAGAAGGCATGCACCTGCTCATCACGGGCCCCAATGGCTGTGGCAAGAGCTCTCTTTTCCGGATCTTGGGCGGGCTCTGGCCCACGTACGGTGGTGTACTCTATAAGCCCCCACCCCAGCGTATGTTCTACATCCCACAAAGGTAAGGAGGCCAGCCACAGGAGAGGCCTCCCCAGCAGGCTGCTGGAGATGGAGCCCTGTTCCCAGATATCTGTGCCCCACCTCTTCCCACCTGTGCACTTGGAGGCTTACAACAGAGGTCCAGGGAAATATTAGAATCTGCCCCTTAGGAAAAGATACAAGACATTATCTCTGAGCTGGTCAGGGGCTGTGAGGCCTGTGCCCTCCCTTCCCACCCCCATCCGCTCTGTCCATTTAAGATCTGGGTGGGAGGGTTGGTGCACGGGTACCCACAGATGTTGGGGGGTGCACACACACTGTATGCCTGCACGTTAATGTATGTGTGGTGCGCATGTTAGTGTGGGTGGGTGTATGGGCATGGTGGGCATGTACCACCTAGAAGGCTCTGTGTTCAGCCAGGGCCACCATAGAGCCCACTCAGGCACAGACACCCTCACAGAAACAGGGCCACGCTGCCCTCAGTGAACATTCAGCTTTCCCACAGGCCCTACATGTCCGTGGGCTCCTTGCGTGACCAGGTGATCTACCCGGACTCAGTGGAGGACATGCGGAGGAAGGGCTACTCCGAGCAGCAGCTGGAAGCCATCCTGGACATCGTTCACCTCCACCATATCCTGCAGCGGGAAGGAGGTAGGGGTGGGGCTGCTATCCAGTTTATCATCCACTGCAGGGAGCAATCAATTGCCCTTTGTTCCAAGACCCTGATGGGGAACCTGTTGCCACCCCCAGCCCAGGGGGATGAGGATTATCTCAGCAAATAAGAGTCCAAAGTGCTTGCTGCAAGCCCCACCTACCAGGAAGGACAGGCAGTAAACAGGTAGCCCCAAGGGGACTTTCAACAAGGCTCTCTTTAGGAGCCCCGGACACCCTTTCTCAGAGAAGAGAGGCCTGAGCCAAGAACTGTGGAACATTAAGAAGTCACCCAACCTGGGAACCAAGGGACTGCAGGGCAGAGTATAGCATAGGCTCTGTGGCAGGGAGATGCTGGCTCACAGTGGGCCATGGAAGCCTGGACTTGCCCTGAGAGGCATCAAAAGCCCTTAGAAGGGTATAGTCAGAGAAAGTGACAGGTTAGTTTTGCATTTCAACAAGATGGCCCTCCTCCAGGCAATGGGCAAGTGCTCTGGCCAGGCTGTGTATGCAGAGGCTTGAAATGTGGATGGGGAGAGCAGAGTCAGAGGGGACTCTTGGAAGAGTCCTTAGGAGGAAGGGACAGCTGGCAAAAGAAGTTGTTTCAGAGAAGAAAAGGCTTATGGAGGGACAGTGCTTGTCTGCAATGTCCATTGTGCCCAGGGGAAGAAAGAGAGGGCTGCCCAACTACAGGCACAGAATGGAGGCTATCGCTGAGTTTCTTAATGAAGTCTAAGCATCTGGGTTCCGTTTCCTGCCTCCCCCACTTAGATAGAAGATGCCCTTGCACAAAGACCTCACTTCTCTGACTCTTCACCTGCAGCATTAAATGCAATAACTCCTGTGAGGAGCACTAGTGCATTTTCAAAAAATGGCAGGGGGTATGAGGATTCAGGAAGATTTTTCCCCAGGTATTGTCACCTGCCCATACAGAAAAGGGGAACAAGAGGTGAGGTTACTGCAGCTCTGCTCACTTCGGAGCTTCATCCCCATATTTCCCCTGGCCTGGCCTTACTTCTTTTGTTCCTGCCACCTTCAACCTGGAAGGACATCCCTGCTCCTGCCCTCTGTGGTGCCCCTGAAGGCCTAGGACCTGTGGCTAGTCATCACAACCTACTAGGATTGAGTTTAGCTATAACAGAATTATGCTGTCCCATAGTGACTCAAAAGTTTAGCCTACTGTGCTGAGTCCCAAAAAAAAGTAGGCCACAATTGGAGGGGGTGGCCCCTCTCTGTGCAGGCTCTGGGAATCCAGGCTATTCTATTATGTATGGCCTCCATTCCCAAAGTCACTTCATGATCCAAGACAGCTGGGGCAGCCATCACATACATGTCCCCTACTATGAGATAAAGGAAGTAGAGGGGAGAGGCTTGCCTTCTATCTTTCAAAGAAGGTTCCATCAGCTGCCACATGTGTGACACTCACATTCCTATCCCATTGTACAGAATTTAGTCACACAGTAATACCTCACTGCAGGGCAAGCTAGAAAGTACTCTTTTGGGGGACGCAGGAGTACTGGGCATTGAACTCAGGGCACTTGGCCACTAAGTCACATCCTCAGCCCTATTTTGTATTTTATTTAGAGACAGGGTCTCACTAAGTTGCTTAGCGTCTTGGTTTTGCTAAGGCTGGCTTTGAACTTGTGATCTTCCTGCCTTAGCCTCCCAAGGCCCTGGGATTACAGGCATGTGCCAGGGTACCCGGTGGAAAATAGAATCTTGATGGTTTGATTCTGAGCTGCCACGTGCCCTGGCAAAACTTCTAGTCCTGTGGGAAGGCAGATGGATGATAGGAGAGGAGACACCCCTTCTGCACAACCATCCTGACAAATCACCCTACTCATCTGCCTGCTCAGACAACCTGGAAGCCCTGCCAAGGCACTGGCACCAGACCATGCTATGTAGCTCAGTCCTTCCAGCAAGGAGCTCCATTCAGGGGAGACCACTCTGTCCATTCCTGGGGCTCTCTGCCATGGGCATCTGCTGCCCACTGAAGGAGGTATTGGCAAGCTCTTCATTGGCACCCCACTGGGGCTACACATAGGGAGCCTCAACAACAGAAGTGCATCTTCTCCCAGTTCAGGAGGCTGGACATCCAAGTTCAAGGAGTTGGCAGGGCTGATTCCTTCTGAGGCATTGAGGGAAGAATCTGCTCCAAGCCTCTCTGCTTGGCTAATGGAAGCCATCTTCTCTGTCTCTTCATACTGTCTTCCACCTCTGCTTGTCTCTGTGTCCAAACTTCCCCTTTTCATAACACACCAGTCATATTGGATTAGAACCACCCTAATGGTCTCATATTAACTAATTACACCTGCACTAACCCTATTTACGAAGAAGGTTGCATTCTCAGAAATAGAACTGTAATATGTCTTTTTGGGGAGGAAGAATTCTGGTCCCAACTCTTTCAGTTATTAAAGTATCACAGACAAGGACACAGCAGAAGTAGGCAACTGGACAAGCTCCTTTGGGGTTCAAATGTGCCCTGTCTTTCCATCATCCTTGTTACCCTAGCTCTCCCTGCATAAGCCCCAGCATCCCTGCCCCTCACACACATGCACTGGGTCCTATTGAATTGAGTGGAGCTCCTTGCCCTCTGGCCAGGTTGGGAGGCCATATGTGACTGGAAGGATGTCCTGTCAGGGGGTGAGAAGCAAAGAATCGGCATGGCCCGCATGTTCTACCACAGGTAAGCCTCTGGTGCTCGGGCCATCTGGGGTGGTCCAAGCCAGTAACAGAGAGAAATTGGTGCTCCCTAGGGCCTTCCTCAAGACAAAGGCACCTTCCAGGAGGAGCCTTGATTCTATCCTGAACGTAGCTGGGTGGGGTTGGAGCCTGGTCAGGGGTTGGCAATGGAGGGTCACAATCTCTCCCTGTTGGCCATCTTCCACCAAGGCCCAAGTACGCCCTCTTGGACGAGTGCACCAGTGCTGTAAGCATAGACGTGGAAGGCCAGATCTTCCAGGCGGCCAAGGATGCAGGCATCGCGCTGCTCTCCATTACCCACCGGCCCTCCCTATGGTAGGTGCCTCAGAGAGGTCCACTCTTGGAGGAGGGGGATGGGGCTGCCACCCAAGGAGGGGAGGGCAGCTACCCACAAACATCCCTGTCCTTCTCCCGGCCAGGAAGTACCACACACATTTGCTGCAGTTTGATGGGGAGGGGGGCTGGAAGTTCGAGAAGCTGGACTCAGCTGCCCGCCTGAGCCTGACCGAGGAGAAGCAGCGTCTGGAGCAGCAGCTGGCTGGCATTCCCAAGATGCAGCGGCGCCTCCAGGAGCTCCGCCAAATCCTGGGAGAGGCCATAGCCCCCCAGCAGCCCCCAGCAGCTAGCCTCCCAGGCCCTGGTGTCCCCACTTGATGAGGACCCAGTCCCTTGGCCCTCCCCCTCCCCAGGCTCTCTGATCACATGAAGGAAACTGCAGCTCCCACCCTGTCCTCACAGGCCCTGCATGCCTTTACCTCTTCCTGGCCTCCTTGCTGGGGGTTCTGCCCTTTGTAGAAGACCCCAGGGAACCTGTCTTCTTCCCCATACCACCACCCCCAGGCAAGTAGGAATGGAGGGTGGCACCCTACTTCCTGCCCCCAATTGTCCATCACTCTGGGGGCTGCTCTACAGTAACTGTCCTGTTCAGGGCAGCAAGTCCTTTACTTTTCTCTGGGGGCGGGGTGGTGAGCCCACAGTCCTGACCCTGCACCTATGTATGGTTGAGCCATACACAGGAAGCAATCAGGGACCCCTCAGGCCCCTGCTCACTGCCACAGCCAGAGACTTGGCAAGCCTGGTGACTGTGTGTCATCTGCCTCCTGAAATTCAAGTTCCTGTTATTACCTCTTCAATACCTTGCAGACCCCATGGTCCTTCCTTCTATTGCCACCTTCCAGGGTAGCCAGCCAAGGCCCCTGTTCCAGGAAGCATCTTTCCTGCCATAGAAGCAACCAGATGGGGCCCAGGGCCAGCCAGTCCCATGCGTGCATCTTCTCCCCCATGGTGGTCGCAGAGAGCCCTGGGGAGAAAGAATGGCTCAGCATTCCTCCCAGCCACAAGAATGTAGCCTGGCTGGTTCACTCCCTTGCTTTCTCTCCTTCTACAGCCTAATTTATTGGATTCCCTGTTTGTAGCCATCTAAATTGCCAATGTGAGCACCCTGCCAGCAGGGGAGGCCACCAGGCGCAGTCCCTCCAGCTGCCCAGCCTCTGAGGCCACAGGCCCTGTTCCCACGGGTGCCAAGCCTGGCCCCCCCACCAGCCTATACTGCCAGCCGCCACTGGGGGGCGTGCTCTGCCTGCCAGGGGGAGTAAGGGCACAGTGTTTCCTGCTCAGTGCCAAAGAGGGGTCCTAGGGGGCGCTGTCTCTACCAAGCCAGCCCTTGCCAAGAGAGACCCCACCACCGCTGTGTGCCTTTCCTGGGCCCTCAGCCCGTGGGCGGGGGCACCCCCCTTAGTCCCCTCAGTAAAAACATCCTACAGAAAATGCAGTGTCGCCTCCCTGCCTGTGTCCTGTTGTGGGGGAGGAGGGCAAGAGGTTGGCTGTGGGACAATTTGAGAAAGGAGTGTACCTAGTTTCCCGAGGCCCTCAGGGAGAAATCGCCTCAGCCACCACCTTTATTCTACCTGAAGACAGGTTCAGTGCTTTCTCTGGATGACTCTCTGAATGGAAATGTTCTTGGGTTACATTCACATGGTGTTGGGGCAGGGGAACTGACAATGACATTTCACAAAAATATTGACTGAGCCAAAGCAGGACTTAGCCTGGTGCTGGAGAGAGGGGATTACCCCCAGTCACTCAGGAGGAGTTGTGGAGAGGAATGCTGTGGAAAGCCAGCAAGCTGCCAAGAAGCAGGAGGGCTCAACCCTGGCCAGTCCTGAGCAGCAGGGAAGGCTGAGTCACAACGCAGGGGTGCTGTGCTTCTAAACCTTCTAGGAAGAGGGAACCACCTCTTGTGCAAAGGCCCAGCAGTAGTGAATGGGGGCAAAATACAGGGTATGATGGCCTGTGGGGGGAAGGAGGAGCTGACTGGTAGGTCTTCCTAAGGAGCCTGGAGTTTGCCTGGAGGCAGCAAGAAGCCACCAAAGAGTTCTCTCCAAGGTGGAACGAGCATGGGGTTCTGTTTTGCCTAAAGCAGGCCATGAGACTTCATCTGGAGGGTCAGTGAAAGACCAGAGCACACTGCTGCTGGGAATGGAAGGGGTGGCAGGAGAGCAGTGTGGCCAGCCTGGGGAAGCTGAGCAGAATTCCTGCTGGCCCAGCACTCCCACCCTGGCTTTGCACCAAAGAGAACCGAGAACAGCCATGCAGGAAAACATGAATATCCATAGCAGGCCAAGTGTCCACTGACAGATGGGTGGACAAAATGTGGCATATCCACAATGCAATATCATTCAGCCATAAAAGGGAAGGAAATGCTAGTGCGCTCCTGCAAGCATGAATCTTGAAGACGTGATGCTTCCTAAGACAACCAAAGGCTGCGTGTTATATAATTCCACTTAAATGAAATGTTCACAATAGGCAAATCCATGGAGACACAAAGCAGATCAGTAATTGCCAGAACTGGGGGGATAGGAAGGAAATGGGTCGAAGGTGTACCTTTTGGGGAGGGGTACAGGGGATTGAACCAAAAGGCACTTAACCACTCAGGCACATCTGCAGCTTGCTTGCTTGCTTGCTTATTTATTCATTCATTCATTCATTCGTTCATTCATTCATTTAGGTCCTGAGGATTGAACTCAGGGATGCTTTCCCACTGAGTCATATTTTCAGCCTTTTTTAATTTTTTATCTAGAGACGGGATCTTGCTAGGTTGCTCAGGGTCTCATTAAATTGCTGAGGCTGGCTTTGAACTAATGATCCTCCTGCTGCAGCCTCCCAAGCTGCTGGGATTACAGGTGTGTGCCACTGCGCCCAGCTTTATTTTTTATTTTGAGACAAGGTCTTCCTAAGTTGCTGAGGGCCTGGCTAAGTTGCTGAGGCTGTTTATGAACTTGCAATCCTCTTGCCTCAGCCTCCTGAACCACTGGGATTACAGATGTGCACCACCATGTCCATCTCAAATAGTGGACTTTAAAGAAATTAATTTTATGTCATGTGAATTTCACCTCAAAAACATATGATAGGGAATTACAGTGGATAGATATATACATGCATATGTCAACTTGTGGATTTATGAGAAGGTGATAGATTGATAGATGATACAAAATAGATGATTAATTGATAAATAGATGATAGAGAGGGAAGATAAATGATAGAGCCTGGCACAGTGTACACAGTTGCAATCCCATCTACTCAGGAGACTGAAGCAGTGGCATCCCAGGTTTGAGGCCAGCCTCAACAATTTAGTGAGACTCTGTCTCAAAATATAAAATAAGAAAAAGACTAGGGCCAGGTATCGTGGCATATTCCTGTAATCCTAGTCTTGGGAGACTGAGGCAGGAGGATCACAAGGTCAAGACAAGTCTCAGCAACTGAGCAAGCCCTAAGCAACTTAGACCCTATCTCAAAATAAATAAAAGGGTTAAGTGCCCCTCAATTCAATTCCCAGTACCAAAACTAACAACAAAAAATGATATAGGATTATATATGGATATACACATACACACATCAATTGATTGAGTAATGATGGATTGATGAAAAGATAACAGATTCATAGTGAGGCCCTAAACAACTTAGTGAGACCCTGTCTCAAAATAAAAAATAAAAAGGGCTGAGCATGTAGCTCAGTGGTAAAAATGCCCTTGGGTTCAATCCCCAGTACCCTCCCAAAAATCAGAAAGAAAAGATAATGGATTGATAGATGATACAAAAAAATCATTGATTGATAAATGGTAGAGAAAAGGTAGATAGAGCCTGGCACAGAAGGCACAGCTGCAAAATTCCAGCTATTTGGGAGACTGAGGCAAGAGGATCACCAGAGTCCAAGAATTCAAGGCTAACATCGAAGACATAGCAAGGCCCTGTCAAAAATTATAATAAAACCAGCTGGGCCTGGTGGTGCCTGTCTTTAATCCCAGTGACTCATGAAGTTGAGGCAGGAGGATCACAAGTTCAAAGCCAGCCTCAGCAATTTAGCAAGACCCCGTCTCAAAATTAAAAAATAAAAGGGCTGGGGATGTAGGTACCCAGTACCAAAAAGAAAAAAAAAAAAAAAAACAGAAAGAAAGGGGGTAGGGGATGCCACTCAGTGGTAGAAAACTGGCCTAGAACACATGGGGCCCTGGGTTCAATCCCTAGCATGAAGAAGAAGGAGAAGAAAGAACTCAAATGAACTAACATATCTATGGAACTAGAAAAAAGAAGAACAAAGACCAGAGCAGAAATAAATGAAATAGAGAGTGGATCAATAAAACTAAAAAAGTTTTCTTAAGATAAACACAATCGGGCTGGGGATGTGGCTCAAGAGGTAGCGCGCTCGCCTGGCATGCATGCGGCCCGGGTTCGATCCTCAGCACCACATACAAACAAAGATGTTGTGTCCGCCAATAACTAAAACAAAAATAAATATTAAAAATACCCCCCCAAAAAGATAAACACAATCAGCAAAACCTTTAGCTAAACTAAGAAAAGATGCACAGCAGCCAGGCACAGTGGCACACGCCTATAATCTCAGCCACTTGGGAGGCTGAGGCAGGAGGATGGCAAATTCAAAGCTAGCCTGAGCAACTTAGCAAGACCCTATCTCAAAATAAAAAAAATAAAAGGGGCTAGGAATGTGGTTCAGTGGTTAAGTGCCCCTGGGTTCAATCTCCCCACCCCCCACAGAAAAAAATTAAATCAAGGTGGAAATAAAAGGGGAGACAGCACAACTGATACCACAGAAATATAAAGATCACAAAAGACTACAATGAACAATTATATCCCCACAAATTGAATAACCTAGACAAAATGGATAAATTCCCACCCAGACTGAACAGACCAATAACGAGAAAGGGGATTGAACCCAAAACTTCCTAGCAAAAAAAAAAAAAAAAAAAAAGTCCATGACTTGGCCAGACATTTAAAACTGAAGAGGAGGGAACATTTCCAAACTCATTTTATTAGACCAGCATTACCCAAAGCCAGATAGGACACAACAAGGAAAGAAAACTACATGTTGCAACACACGACTAAACCAGTCAAGGTCACTCCAAGTGAATCTGGGGACTAAATAAAGACACAGAAACAGGAAGTACCTTTTCTTTGGGTTCAGTGACTGCTCCTCAGCCACAGCTCCCACAAGGGGGGCAAGGCAAGCAAGAAAGAGAAGGAGCACGCCTTGAACCTGGGTTTTAATGGGAAGAAGCCATTCAAATGAGGCAAGGGGTAGGGTTATAACAAACAAATGGGTGTAATCCAACCCCATCATGTGATGCCCACTCCTGGAGCTGCACCTCTTTATGCAAGCGGAGGCAAAGTCCAAGTTGTATTGCAGAGTGCAATACCTGTTCAGTACCTCTTTACTCAGGACTTAAAGGTGTGTACATAGCTCCCGTCCAGAGCAGCTCCCAACAACTACAGGCCAACATCCCTGAGGAACATAGGTGCAAAAATCCACCACAAAATTCTAACAAAACAGATTCAACAGCACACTGAAAGTCGAATTTATCCCTGGGATTGTAAGAATGATTCAACATATGTGAATCAACAAATGTGATAGGTCAAATTAGCAGAAGGAAGGGCCAAAATCATATGATATCTCAATAAATGCAGAAGAGACTTTTGATAAAATTTGACATCCTTTCATGATAAAAATTTAAAATCTCAATAAATCGGATATAGAAAGAATATACCTCAACATATTAAAGGCCATATATGGCATCATATGCTAATATCATACTCAATGGGGAAAATAGTGACCTCCAAGGTCAGGAACAAGGCAAGGACATCCACCCTTGCCAAGTCTATTGAACATAATTCTGGAAATTCTAGCTAGAGGAATTAAGCAAGAAAAAGAAATACAACTGTCTCCACTTGAGATAACATGATCCTATTATGAGGCATTATTTGCAACAGCCAAGATATAGAATCAACCTAAGTGTTCATTAACACATGAATGGATAGAGGAATGTAGCATATATACACAATGGAATACTAGTTAGCCTTAAAAGGGGGGAAACCCTGTCATTTGCAAGAACATGGAGGACATTAACTGAAAGAAATAAGCCAGGCACAGAAAGACAATACCACACATTCACACTTACATGTGGAACTGAAAAAAAGGCAAACTCCTAGAAGCAGAGTAGAATGGTGGTTACTAGGGGCGTGGCTTGGAGTGGGTTGGGGAATAAAAAGATAAAGATAAAAGGGGGCAAGTTGAATAAATTGTAGAGATCTATTGGACAGCATGGTGAATACAGTTAATAATAATGTTTAAAGTTGATCTCAGTGCCTCACCCATGCTAGCAAACACCCTACCATTGAGCTACATTCCCAGTCCTTTTTTTTATTTTTTATTTTGAGACAGAGTATCACTAAGTTGTTGGAGCTGGCCTCAACTTGCTATAC